CGATCTTTTTGATCAGTTGCAAGGAGCGAGATATTTTTCTAAAATCGACTTACGGTCTGGCTATCACCAACTCAAGGTACGGGAGGAAGATGTACTCAAGACTGCCTTTCGGACCCGTTATGGGAATTACGAATTCCTCGTAATGCCATTTGGACTTACAAACGCACCTACAACGTTTATGGACTTAATGAATCGAGTATGCTATCCTATGCTCGACAAGTCTATGATCGTATTCATTGATGATATTTTGGTTTACTCAAAGTCCGAAAACGAACACGATACACACTTACGTCAAATGCTAGAATTGTTGAGAAAAGAATGACTCTATGCAAAATTCTCGAAATGTGAATTCTGGCTTCGCGAGGTACAATTCTTGGGGCATACCATATCCGGAGACGGTATTTTTGTAGACCCAGCCAAGATCGAAGCAATTCAAGAATGGAAGCAACCAAAGAACGCTTCGGAAGTTCAGAGTTTTCTGGGTCTGTGATACGTACTAAGTATTTAGTACGTAAAGTACCTTTTTATTCTCTTTTAGATAGATTATTTTGCTTTCATATCCCAACTTTGAGTCATTTTCTCTTTTCTCTGTTTTTATGCTAAGAAGAATGTGAACCTGTTTTAGTGGATTTTGGTCTAAATTAAGCTTATTTTGGACAGATTGGAGCAGGTCGATGTTGTGGGAATGCGGTAGCATGACCTGAAGGCAGATGAAGAGATGGATGAGACTTGGAGTTGACTGACATGACTTGGGAAGACATTTGAGAGCCTTCTAAAATTGAACCAGCTGTAGTTTAATCAGATTAGTTGGAGTTTACAAGACTAATGTAGTTACTTTCTAAATATTAGTTTGCTTTTATGTACTATTTAGTTTCTTTTGAACCAAGTAGGTGTGAAATTACCTTTTTCCTCTCACTCCATCCCTACTATAAAAAGGGATGTTGGGAGGAGTATTCAACACACCTCAACACTTGTACTCCACACTTTTCTCTCAAGTAGTTCTCCAAACTACTTGGAGAACAAGTTGTCTTCTAAATATTATTAATCTTTTGGTTACATTTCGAGTTCCTTTTAATCGCTTTATTTAATCGCTTTCTTTACATTACCGTTATTTATATTCCGTCTTTTATTTATTTACGCTTACTCGCATTTTATTTCTGTCATTTATTTATTACGCTTTCTGCATCCTTTATATTACGTCATTTACTTTCCGCATTTATTTTATGTCTTTATTTACCGTAATTTATATTTCTTGTCATTTACTTTTCGTCATGAGTAGCTAATTTTATTAGCTCGAGTGTATGACGAAAAGGGTGAGTTGTTAAACCAAAATATAGTCGACCCTTTCATATATTTTGATGCTTTGGAAGTATTCTAGGTGTGGTAGCTTGGACTTGCTTTGTGAGCTCATTTCGGAACTTTTCGATATTATATGGTTGCTCGGTGATTTATATAGTTAATTGTTACATATTGTTTTGAATATATATATATATATTTTTTCATATGAATGTTTTTGGTCATGATTTGAGTCACACGATCTTGATTTGTCTTTGATTCCGTCTCTTGAGTCTATTTCATATTATGATCTCGTTACATCGGTTTGCTTTCCGGATCCGGACTCGTTGTTTTGTTCCTTGAATTGTACGCCATAGTACGGGTACTACTTCGTGTGGCACGTCGGAAGTTTATGGCTAAGTCAAGATCCCGGGTTGGACGGGTGAGACTTTCTGCAATTGTGAATACTCATTGCTCAAAAAGGAGGAAGAGCAATGAGTAGTGAACCTTGGCACATACCCGGTTGAGGAAGGCAGGCAGTGCGAGGTTTCCCGTAACGTACGATTCTGACTCGAACTTTGGCATGAGCCCGGAAGGTGAAGGACGGGGTGATGCACTGTCCTCGTTATGTTTACTGATTCGATCTCTTGGTTCCTGATATTTATTGGTTTTCTAACATTGTTGAATATATTTGGTTTTTGATCATGTTTCCTTGTTGTATTGACCATCAATTGTATATGGTGATTTGAATATGGAATTCTATAATCTTAGCATCTTGTACGTAATTGTTCACTCGGTTTCTTGTAAGTCTTGGTTTGCATTTAGATGATGTCTTGAACTCTTTTATTGATAATAGTTTATTATGTATGTTTATAAACATGTGCGATATTGATATGTAATACTTAACTATCTAACTCACTAAGCGTTGGCTTATCATTTAAGTGTCAATCCCTCTCAGGAAAGAAGACGGGTAAAAAGAAAGAACCCGTTGTTTGACTTGAAGATTTATCGGGGAACTTGAAGATTTCGAACTTGCTTTTGGTAAATAGTAGCTTATTACCGTATCTCATAGATGTAGTAAGTGTAGCTTGTACATAGTATTGTTCCGGTTATAAGTATGTCCCGTATTCTTTTGCTACTTAATTCGGGTTGTAAGTAAAAATCCGTTATATCTGGTTTGGAATTGTGTTTTGGATGGTTTTATCACTAAAATAAAACGGATATTTCGAAGTTTTTCTAGAAAATTAATATCATGTATTTTGAGGTTAATCAATGTTAAGCCCAGATCTGTGTGTTACAAAGTGTTGATCATTCATAGGGGCTCTGGTCCATCCATAGGGGCTCTGGTCCGTCCATAGGGGCTCAGGTCTTCTTCCAGACTTGGTCGTTTCATCACAGCAGCATCTTAAGATCTTCCATCATTTGCCCCGATTGCTTTGATAAAACTTTTAGAATAATTAGGATCAATTTTGATCCTAAGAATCAATAAATTATATTTTATTGGAGATTTTATAAAATTGATAACTTGGGGTTTCTTAAGTGAGATGTTACAACCAACCACTAACCCCCGCCCTTACCACCCCACCCACCAATGTCGTCCAATTTTACCACCAACAACCACCCCCACCTAGGGGTGCTCACGGCCCGGGTTGATCGGTTTGGAGCCGTTTTAACAACTCAACCCAATGTTGGCGGTTTGAAAATTTTTAACCCAACCCAACGCGTTCGGGTTGATCGGGTTTATCGGGTTGTGTTTAAACAATGTAAAATCACATAAAAATAAAGAAAACTTTCCTTTCAAATACGACCAACCATTCAAGATAATATGCAAGTTCATCAAATATTTTGATATTAGAATAAAAATGTTTAAACCAAATGATAATACATCAATCAACAACAATAGTTTTAGACGTTTCCAACCTCGATGCTTTCGCTTTCTTGACGTTGAGGTTGGTCATATCATGATTGTCATCTACAATGCAAAGCTAAAGTTAAGGTCGGGTTCATCGGGTTGTCGGGTTGGTCGGGTTTTTTTGGGCCTAACCCGATTCCAACCCAATAAGGTCGGGTTGACTAATTTTTTTATCGATCATGCATCGGGTTACCTCGGGTTGAGTTTTTTTTTTTTTTTTTTAATTCGGGTTGAGTTGATCGGGTTCATCGGGTTTTTGAGCACCCCTACCCCCACCCATTACAACTCACCACCACCCCAACCATGTCCACCGCCACTGACCCCCAAGCACCACCACCTTACCTAACCCATTTCCACCCTCACCCACCACACCACCAACCTCATGCAAATCCCCATCATTAACCACCACCACCTGATCCCCATCCCCCCACCAACCCCATCCAATTCCACCAACCCCACCCGCTATCACCAACCATGTCACCGCTACCCAACCCGATATCACTCACGAACCACCCTATCCCAACTCATCATCCACCACCCTTACCCCAACCCTACCCTCAATCATCCAAAGAACCACCACCCCAACCCCACCAACAACCACCCCGACCATCCATCCTCTTACCACCCCACCCTTACGTCCTCCACCCAAACCACTGATCCACTCCCTACCACCCTTCCCACCACCATCTACCACATGCCAACAACCACCCTACCCTACCCCTCACCCAACCTCCTTACCCCACCCCAACAACCACCCACTAATGCCCCCATTACCACCTCACCCACTAACATCATCCAATTTCACCACCAACCACCCATACCAACCACCACACCCACCATGTCCACCGCCACCCACCCCTACCTCTACTCCTACCCCTACCTAACACCATCCTAAGTACCACCATCATACACAACCCCCTTCCACCCTCATCCTTGACACCACCAACCCTATCCAAATCCCCCATCATCAACCATCACCTACCTATCAACCCCATCCAATTCCACCGTCTTCAACCATGTCAATCGTCAACCAACCTGATATCACTTACTAACCACCCAACCTCATCATCCATCACA